GGCCCTGGCGGGCGAGGTTTCAGGCTGGGAGGTGGCGCTGCTGGAAAGGAGGGAGGGGCAGCTGGTAGGAGCAACCCAGCAGCGCCCCGGGGCCCAGCAAACGCTCACGCAGCAGCTGAGGGCAGAGCAGCCGCTAGCTTAAGCTCCTGGCCCTGCGCAGGCTCCCCGGGCGGGAGGGAAGGAAGAAAAGTAACAGGATAAAACACAGTAAACAGAAGGAAAGCAAAGCAAAAAAAACTATGTAGCACTTTAAAGACGAACAAGATAGGAGCAACCCAGCAGCGCCCCGGGGCCCAGCAAACGCTCACGCAGCAGCTGAGGGCAGAGCAGCCGCTAGCTTAAGCTCCTGGCCCTGCGCAGGCTCCCCGGGCGGGAGGGAAGGAAGAAAAGTAACAGGATAAAACACAGTAAACAGAAGGAAAGCAAAGCAAAAAAAACTATGTAGCACTTTAAAGACGAACAAGATAGTTTATTAGGTGATGGGATTTCGTGGGGCAGACCCACTTCCTCAGATCATATTCTGAGAGTGAATTGGCATGACCCTATAGAACAAACATATAGGATGAAGAAAGTAAGCAAATGATAAAGTAACAAATTATAAACTAAGGAAAGAAAGATACTCTCAGAACGGGACAGGGGCAGGTGCAAAGGTGCTCTCCTCAGGTCATGAATTAGTAGCACGGTTGAAAGGACTTGCCAGGTTCTCAGCCGGGAAATGATAGAGGGGGGAAAGTTGGGAGGATTCCCCTTTCATTTCATATGTACCCCCGTCAAGAGTGAAAGTCTGTGGTCATCTAAACAGCGCTTTCACTTTTGAAATACCTTTTTTTGAAAAAGCGCTGTGATGCAATTATGCAAATGAAGTGCAGCATATTTAAATCCCTGCTTCATTTGCACTTTTGATTTGCCTAATTTACATCCCTCTTTTGACAGAGGGATGTAGTCTAGACATAGCTTTTGAGAGCTGTTATGCTACATCTACACTGCGGAGCTATTTCAGGTTACCAGTAGTATCCCGAAATAGCTATTCTGTGTCTTTTGAGCAAGCCGTTATTTCATAGTATAACGGGCTCACTATTGTGATGTCCCTGTAAACCTTGTTCCACAAGGATTAAGGGACATTTTAGAATAGCACTCTATTTCTAAATTAACTCGAAATAAACTATGCAATTTGCGTAGCTCAAATTGCATAACTTATTTCAAGATAAGGGTGCAGTGTAGATGCCCCAAGATCATTTACATAGAAGGCAACTAGGAGATATGTACACTAAGGAATGAGGGAGCTATGATCAGTATTTTTTTATAATGGCTAGGACAGTCTTAGCTTGTGGTTCAAAGAAGAGGCTAATTCCTATTCTTGACCACATCACTGACTTGCAATCTGATAGATTGGAAAAATCATTTAATCTCTCTGGGCTGTGTCTACACTGGCATCCCTTCTGGAAAAGGGATGCTATTGTAGCACTTTGGAATAGGCAAATCCGCGGGGGATTTAAATATCCCCCGCGGTATTTGCATTAACATGGCTGCCGCTTTTTTCCGGCAGGAATGAGAGATCCTCCGGAAAAGGCTTTATTTTCCGGAGAATCACGTCTAGACTGGCGCTTTCCTCCGTCTTATCTCCAAGCCGGAAAAAAGCGGCAGCCATGTTAATGCAAATACCGCGGGGGATATTTAAATCCCCCGCGGATTTGCCTGTTCCAAAGTGCTACATTAGCATCCCTTTTCCGGAAGGGATGCCAGTGTAGACACAGCCAGAGAGATTAAATTTACACATCACAATCATAAGAGCATTCATCTTTCATTCAGCAAACAGGTTATTTTAAATATACTCCTTGACACTTTGCTGGGACTTCAAATTCACAGTATGTTGTTTCTTGCTACTCTGAGTTCTTCCACTACTCTCTCGTTACCCTTGCTGTATACCATTTGAGCTGTAAAATAAGGGTAAATATATTACAAAAATCAGCTGTAGTAAAAAAAAAAAAAACTTTGACCTCTCCATAGACGAGCTCCTTTTTCCACTGGGTTTCATCATAATTGCAACAGAGCACAATAGATGGAAGGCAAACTCACATAGGATTTATAGCAGGGATGGACAATAAAAAACGGCAGCCCGCAGGGTTTCGCAGGCTGCCACCGCAATGTTTACTTGCGCCTCCACAGGGGATCACATCTCTGGTTGGCTGCAAATCACCGTTCACAGACAATGCGAACAGTGGGAAGTGTCGCAAACCGGGATGTCACTTCTCGCTGCTTGCATTGGCAGCAAATGGTGATTCGCAGCCCTGCGGAGGCACAAGTGAACATGGAGGTGGGGGCCCACCAGGGACTAACCCTTGAGGATTGGATCCAGCCCGTGAGCTGGAATTTGCCCACCCCTGATTTATAGGGTAATAGATAATTGGTCCATCAAAGTCTAAATTAATGTATCTACATAATTGTGCAATCCTATATGTAGGAGAAAAGTCTTTTTCCTGACACTAGCATGTGCCTGAAACTTGACATTTGGTTACCCTTATCTTAACATGCTACTAACCATTAACTAAAGTCTAACTGAATGCCTCTCTCACTGCTGCTGAGCTTGCTCTTCCTGCCCTTATTGAGTTAAAAGCTGTAAGACCAGGATTGTTCCTCAGAGCATTCATTGTTGTGGTGGTTTTTGCTCTTTACACAATATAATAACATAATCTAAAGCAGTGGTCCCCAACATTTTGGGGCTGCCGGGCGCCTGGGGGCAGGGCCGCTCATGCGCTGGGCATACGGGGGCGGGACCGCTCACAGGCCACGTGACTGGGGGCAGGGCCAAGCATGCGCCGCACACCCGGGGCCGGCACCAGCATGTGCGGAGCATCTGGGGCCAGAGCCGGCACCGGCATGCGCCGCAGGGCCAAATCCAGCACCAGCATGTGCGGCGCGCCCAGGGCCAGGGCTGGCACCAGCATGTGCAGATTGCTCCGCGGGCGCACATATATGGCCTGGCGGGCGCCATGGCGCCCACGGGCACCACGTTGGGGACCACTGATCTAAAGAAACCGCATGGGCGTGGTAGAGTCCATATAACCATGTTTACTATATGGACACAACGTGGGCCAGCTATAATGTAAGGCTGGCTATACTGCTGCTCTGGCTGGATTCAGAGGCCTTTTAAAACACAGACCACAGTGAGAACCCTTAAAGGGATCACAAACTATTTAAAGAAATAGTACACCTTACATTCAGATAACCCCATAGCTAGGACATTTTTGAACTGTGGAGAGGTCATCTTTAAAGGGCATCTCATTTTTATCTGTGGACTACAATGTTATCTTCCTTTGTAACTAGCTTACACCTTTATATAGCATCTGTTCCTTTCATCACATACACTTGCCAGCTGAGAAGTATCCTACTGCCAATTTGTCAGGGACCCTTTCAGGAGTATCTTATGGTTTCTGGCACAAGGGTACACCAGCTGCCAGTGGAGTGAGTCAGCTGTGGAACATACTAGTGCCCTAAAATAGTAGTCAGGAAAGAGAGCAAACTCTTTCATATGGAACTGACACTGGGAATTTGTATAACAAATGACTTGAGAAGGCCTTGGAGGGATGAGACAGAAAGAGCCCCAAAGTGTGCGGGTGTGGCAGAGAAAGAAAACTCAAAGTTATGGAGTGGAAATGAGTGAAAAAGGAAAGTTGGGAATATTCTGTTCAAATAAACGGCTTTTGAGATATGGATTTTCTTAGGCTTTTATAGTTAGAAAAATCTATGACCGAACTGGAAACTTCTGAAGCTCATTTATGCAGTTGGTCTGTATGAGCAATTCCTACTGAATTCAATCAGAGTCCATCTTAACAGATTAAGAACATGGGTGGCGGGTAAAACCCCCGCTTTGGGGAGGCAAGCCTGCTGGTCCCACCACTGCCATCTAAGTCTCCACCCCACATGCTGGAGTCCCAAAGCCCCTCCCACCCCCCACCTGCCCATAAAAGGAAAAGCCATACAAGGGCCCCCAGACTGAAGGATTCCTGGCCCAACCCCCCAGCTGCATCAGACTGAACTGCCATCACCAGCTCCCTGACTTACTGCCCCCCACCCAACAGCAGCCTGAGCCTCCACTCCCCTGGCCCTTGAGCATTGGGCTGGCCCCAGTGCATTGCTGAGTCAGCAGCTTCCCTAAGACCTGGACTGGTCCAGTGCCACCAGAGTTGGGCTGGACCCAGCTCTGGGCTGAGCTGCCCTCCTCCACCCAAGCATCAGACTAGTCCCAGTGCTGGGTCAAGCCTCTCCCCCGAGCACCGGCACAGCCCCAGTGCTGGCTTGAGCCACCATCACCTTCCCCAAAGTGCCAGCTCCTCCTGCCCTGAAGGCCCCTCCCCAAGCCACCAGCCCCAGAGGCACCCAATAGAACCTCGTCAGTCTGCTGGCTCTCTGTATCACTCCTCATTGCCCCATTCCCAGGAGGAGAGACACAGTGAGCAACTGGGACCTTCGGGGGTGGTAGATAGAGTGGAGGCGGCAGTGGGGTTCTTCAAAAAAGGGATGGGGGCACTGTGGCCCAGTTGTCTGGCAGTGGGCCAGAAGTAGCCTTGGCAATGCCTGCCCTGGTCTGTTATACCCGCCACGCATGGTTAAGAAGTGACATGGCTGACAATCTACAAGTA